AAAAAAACACACCCAAAAAAAAAAAAAAAAAAAAAAAGTATTATCCTATTTTAGCTGTTGTTATGAGATAAATGAGATTGAAGATGTTAGGACTCAGAAACTGATACCCTGAAGACTGGGGTTTTGATATGCCATTACTTATAAAGGTTGGATGTGCCAAACAACGGTCTCATGCCCCTTCCCTGAGGTCTCATTAACTGTACTTACACTAGGAAAGGAAGACCAAGGCACGCCAACACACCTGGACAAATTTATCATGTGCTATCGTTCGTCTCCCAGGCCCATCAGGTTCCCAAAGAGAACTGTTTCCTCACCATTGTTGGAATATTGGACCTATATTTGTCCTTAGAAATAATTTATTTACTCTCAGATTTTCTACACTCTGGTTTTCCCCTCTCCCATGATATAAGCCACAACCATCTGGCTTCTCTTTGAATTCATATAGTATATGGCTCTCGCATACAGATTTGTATGTTAAAATGAATCTATATGTCTTTTCTCTTATTAATGTGCCTGTTGCCAATGATTTTTTTAGAGAACCTCAGAGGGAAAGGAACATTTCTTTATCCCTGCCAAGCCAAAATTCTGGTCTTTTATGAAGCTTACAATCAAAGTGAAAAGTCACAAGTCAAAACTAAATACTTAAAGGTTACTTAGGGTATTTCTATCCTTTGGTAGGTACCCAGTAGGGGAATTGCTGGGTTGTAAGATAGTTCTATTTGTAGGTTTTGGTGGAACTTCTGTATTGTTCTTCACAGTGGCTGTACTGGTTTACATCCACCAATAATGGAGGAGAGTTCTCTTTTCACCACAGCCTTGCCAGCAGTTATCATTCTTTAATTTTTAAATCTCAGCTATCCTGAATGGGGTTAGGTGGTATCTCACTGTGGTTTTGATTTGCATCTCCCTTCTGATCAGGAATTTTGAGCATTTTATCATATGCTTTTTGGCTGTTTACATGTCTTCTTTGGAGAGTTGTCTGTTTACTGCAAGATTATTCACAATTGCTAAGACATGGAATCAGCCCAAATATCCAAGAACAAATAAATGGATTGAAAAAGTGTGGCACATGTACACTATGGACTACTACTCAGCCATTAAAAAACAATGAGACCGTGGCATTTGATAATGGTGGATATGGAAGATTGATGCTATGTGAAGTAAGCCAGACTAGGAAAGAGAGGCATTGTATATATCCATTTAATGTATTCTGAATGACTGCACTTGATGGCAGAAACTGAAAGACTGAAGGTATAAAAACATGGAGAGCAGCCGTGGATACGAGAGATAGTGTGGGAGGGTGACGGACAATGAGGGGCTGTGGGAGAGAGGGAATCAAGGGGGAAAAAGAAAAACCACAGTATATGCTGAAGATATACAATGAATGTAAATGAGATATCATAAAACAAAATTTAAAATAAAAAAAACTTAACTTAGTAACAGTCATCCTTCCTATTTCTTGTGTGCAGTCAACATATTTCTTGAAATGAAATAAAAATATCAGAGTAGAATATACATTTTCAGTAAATAAATATGTGCAGGATGTGATGTGAAGGGTGACCCACAAAAACTTTCCGGGAGGCATGGGTGATGGAAATTTTAAAAGGGGGATGAAGCATAGTGGTTATAAACCTGGAGGGTTACTGGTTAAAATCTCTGCTCTGTTGTTTAGTAGTTCTGTGACAGTGAGAGAGTCAGATAAATTCTCTAAAATAATAAATAAAACTCTTAATTATCTATCCAATGGGGGTGATTGTATTTACTTCATGGACTTATTCTAAGGAGTCGGAGAAGATATGTGTGTAAAGTTTTTAACACCAGACTTATCATGAAGCAAGTGCTTTTTTTTTTTTTGGAGAGATTTTCACTGTAGGGCACGTGCACTCGCCAGACAGACAGAGACATAGAGACAGAAAGCGAGAAATCACCCCCCAGGGGGGATGGTCACGCCACAATCCCTTCTCCTCCATTCTCCTCTCGGGATCTTGGGCACGCACGCACATGCGCCCGGCGTGAATTTTAAGCCACTGGGTCCGGGACACGAACCGCGGTCAACTACGTGGGAGTCCAGCGACATAGCCATTACGCTAACTGCTGGTTCCCAAGCAAGTGCTTTTAAAAATAGTAGGTATGATGATTAGTACCCTTAGTATATAGCTCACCATAGTTAGTGACTGTAAAGCATTACAGCCGTTAGGACGATACAGAAGGTGAGAGATCAGATCACTACATTACTTGTATAATCGTGACAAGTGTAAGGCACTAAACATAAGGGAAAGGAAAGGAAAAACAAGAAATTTGAAAGACAAGTTGAATTTTTACAGGCAAATAAAACCTACAAGAAATATGGAGGTACACAGATTGAAGCAGAATCTATTTCATCGATTAGTCTTAGGTTCCACTGTTTTCAAACTACAAATCACATGCAGCTTTTATCAAGCAGATGTAAGGTATCTCTGCTGAGACAGTTTTATGGTCTTAAGTGACCATCAAATCAATATGATTAATGATTAGAGTAGGGAAAATGGCTGGTAGTAACAAAACTCTGAGCATTTCTCTTTGGAGATTTCTTTGTTACGCCCTTAATTAAGAAAAGGTCGAAGAAACATGGTAGAGATAACCGGAGAGTGCTTAAAACGATGGGAGAGAGGTCATGGTGTGAGATCACATCATTGTCTTATGATGGAATCTGTCGACTGTAGTCATCTTTGAAAATCACTGATAGGTGAATTTTGTATTTAGTTCCATTGTTTCAGCTATCATGTAACATTAGTAAGCCAAACTCATTGAGTATAAGATTAAAGCAATCTTGTCATTTTGAGAAGCTGAGTTATAAAACAGTAGACTATTTCATTTAAATGCTCAGATAATTTGAACAGAGAGATGGGTTTAAGTCACCTGAATAATGCATTTTTATCTCTTTAAGGAGTAAGATACAGAAGAAAATTAAACTAATGTGCTGGTTATATGTATTTAAAATTACGTGTGTGTGTATTTATGTGCTATTTTCAAAAAGTTTATATATATATATATATGGATTTCAAAAAGTTTCTGGAAAAGTGGAATAAAAATACAAACTTATTTTGGTGCAAACATTTTTTGAAATCCATAGTTTTTTCCCAATCATATACATTTACCATGAACTTTTGGAAGACTATATATATATAAATACATATGTATATGTTAAAACAAACAGAAGTTCATTAGTTCATCAGAACTAAAATTGCCTCATGGGCTAATCTTGCAAAAATAGTTCTAAATTAGCATCAGAGTCAGGAACAGGAACTTTGGAAAGGAATTTTGGAAAAAGTCAAGACAGGAAAATGTTCTAGAAACAAAGTGGCTAATAACAGCAAGCTGTGAGGGTGATGATCACTGAGTAATGTTCCTTATAGACTTTGAGAGATGCCTTTGTGAAGCAGAAGATGAAAGAGGACTTGCTATGCTGAAGGTGTAAACCATTTTAATGCGAGTTTAATCCACTGGCTCATTTAAGAGTTAGAACTGCAGAAAACCCATGGTCCCTTACCTCAGAGACAACTGGAGTTATTAAACAAAAATTGAAATACTTACAATGAAATATTAAAAAAATTGGGGGAACCAGCAGTCAGCGTAATGGCTATGTCGCTGAACTCCCACGTAGTTGACCGTGGTTCGCGTCCCAGACCCGGTGGCTTAAAACTCACGCCGGGCGCGTGCGCGTGCGTGCCCAAGATCCCGAGAGCAGAATGGAGGAGAAGGGATTGCGGCGTGACTATCCCCCTGGGGGGTGATTTCTCGCTTTCTGTCTCTATGTCTCTCTCTGTCTGTCTGGCGAGCGCACGTGCCCTATAGCGAAAATCTCTCCAAAAAAAAAAAAAAAAAGAAAAACCAAACAAACAAACAAAAAATTGGAATATTTCCAAGGAAATATTATTGCTAGATATGTTTATAAAACAGTAGTCTAAACACGATTCTACTATATAGATGATATAGTCTGACCTCTTACTTTCATTCAAATTGCAAATACACATTTATTGTTAATATTGAGTGATTTTAAGCAATGTTAAGAATCTCCTATGGCAAAATTAAAATACAGAAAACCTTTATGAATATCTTTATCCTAATACATTAGGTTACCTGAATTCCTGGATTTAACATATCTGAAAGTAAACATTGCATATTCTGGGACCCTAAGGATTTCTCAGGAGGGTTAAACAGAAACATTTGTAAGTAATGCAATAGAATTGTTGGAAGATAATTTCTTCTACTATTATCATTGTTAAAGGAATGACATCTATTTAATGATCCCATGACATCACCTCTCCTCTTTCCCCCTTCTATCAGAAGTGAAATGAAGCATTGTTTTCCAAATCAGCAGAGACATCCCTATCCTGGGAATAAGACAAATTCTCACATTACAATCCTGTAATAATTCGATATAACACAGGTAACACAGGGTCAGTTGGTGGGGTCCAGCAACCTGCATCTACCCAGATGCTACTATTTAGCATGATACCCATTTACACATGCTTCCCTTTACCTATGATATAAAAAAGGATATGAATTCCATGTTCCATCAGTGGAAAATATCCAAACTAACATCACAAAGGCTTCTTAACTGAATTAGTTTTAAAGTACCTTAGTGAGGCCTTTGATATCTAGTGACTTTGCCCTTGCTGAGACTGCTTGTCACCAGCTCAGACTGCTCCCCTCTCTAAGGACAGTCAAGCAGCCAAACCTGCACTAACCATGATGGGTTGTTCCGGAGCATGTTGACATATAAACCGATGAGAACATGTTCATCAGCTAGCCTGTCTGCCACATTCAGGCTGTATTGTATCCTGAAACAGGGCAGGAGCAAAGAGAGGGTGTTGTTAAGAGAAGTGGACAGAGATAAGCAGGGAAGTTTGGAATGAGTTTGTGGTAGAAAGAGCATTTAGGAAACCAAGCAAGTAAAGGCAGCGTGTAAGTGATGTTCTACGAAAAACGCGAGCAAAATCCAAGCAATGAAATTCACAATTCCACTTCAATCACATTAAAAGTAAAGACTTCCGTTTAGATTAAATAATTTTTTAGGAAAAAAATTGCATTATTCAACCACTCAGGCCAAGGAATTTATGTTTACAGTGAACACACTGAAATGGGTTACAAGCAAAGATTAACTACTAAATCTTTAGCGTAGTTATTTCAGAAAAATGAAAAGAAAATCAGGGAATGTGGATGACAACACAGATGTGTCTACTTGAAATAACTACTTGGTGCTGTTAATTGGGTTATAATAGAGTTGCTTTTATGAAATCAAAGATGGTCTTTCACACACACACTGTTTTTGACAAAAGAAACCTCTATTTTTAGTCTAGTTAATTCAGGGTTCCAGTACACTCTGGCTTCAACTTACCCTTTGCCCTTCAGAAAAGCTGGTGCAGCCCTAGCCAGCAGTTTGTTCTGCTCTACTTCACTGTCCTTGGGAGGAGAGCTAGTTAATAAGACGGGAAAGCCAAGAAGAGCGTAAACACGGCAATGCATTCAAGAATAGAAACTGGCAACAGAAACTCCCAAGTCTACATCCAAGCTTGGACAGATCTCTGATTATATTGAAATGCTCAAATGTTTTCAGATTTCCACAGAGTTCAACTAGGAGTAAAAATCTGGCTTGAGAACCATAATTAGAATTACACAAACCACAATAATCCCAGATTTGTCCTCTGCGATTTGCCTTAACCAGCAAGCATTTCTATTGCATATGTGTAAACATATCGACAGCTCATTCACTATTTATTACAGGATATGGTGTAAACAGTCCCCTAGTCCAATGAATCCTGTGAGCACTTGGATCCCACTGCAGAAGTTCACTTCTTTAGCTTTCCCTAAATTTGCCACTGTCAGTGTTGAACCAAGACTTGAAAATTACCTAAAGATTGCTATCGTATTGAAAGTGCTTTATTACTTCTAGCACAAGCCACTTAATCTTGGCTGTGAAGCTACATAAATAACCTTCAGAGAAACAGAGAAATAATCCTTTTAACCTTACACATTTATAGCCCTATTTCTTGTCTTGTGCCTATATTAATATGTAACTAGTGAGGAAAGTCTGATCACTACAGCAATGAACATTTTAGATTCATTATAAGAAATATTCATTTTCTTCAGCGATTTAAATGACAGTATTAAAGTTTAACCTATGGTTTTATTAAAGGACAAATAGGGATATAAATAATAAAGCTAACCCCATAGCCTAGGGGTTAAGAAGTCAGATCCCACATGTCTGACTGTGTTTCAGATTCTGGACCTGGAGGCTTGTAAAACATTCTGGCATATGCGTATGCACGTCTAAAATGGAAGAGAAGGGGTTGTGGACTATCTCCCATTGGAGGGTGTTTTCTCTCTATATCTCTGTCTCTTTCTGGAAAGCAAGCATTCTCTCTGACAAATAAAAAAAAGAATATAAACAATAACTAGTTAAGTATGACCCCATTAAGGTCACCCAAGATTTACTGTTATAAGCAGGATGCTTCATTTGGAATATAATATTAATTCTTAATATTACAATGTACTGGTAATGTGTTCTAATAGGGTTAGCATTTTTGTACATTAAGAAGTTGTCCTACACACAGGTATACCTAAAATTATTTTTCCCTTCATTAAAAATGCAAAAATTAATTATTTAATACCAAATGTTTTAACTGTTAAGATCTAAATGATAAGATTTTACCTCAAATTTCCAAGTTTTAAATCTACTACTACAGTGTAGTCTACTACTACAGCGTAGTCTGCCCATAGAGCCAAATACCCACCTTAAACTTTTCTAGGTGGTAGTTTCTGGTGGTGTACCATCATCCCACCAAAATGGAATTCCCAACCTTTTCTATTGAGGCTCATCTTCATGAGTTCATTATCTAGTATCTAAGGCCCCCAGTTGCCCAATATCCCTTCTCCTAGATAAAAAATAACTTTTAATGTAGCTTTTGCATAATTGATTTCAGATGCTTGCCAAACCATTTAAAACCCATGTGAAATAGCCATGATTTGCTCCTTTAGGCTCAACAATTTCCCTGCCTTGCTGCTCTTCTTTGCTCTTTGGATCCTGGAAATGGTGGTGATATATTCTTTAACCAAAATCCTAACAATTACACAGGTATTATCTTCTGATGTTGAATGTTCAAGAAAAAAGAAAGAACCAGTAAGAAAAGAAACACAGGAAGGTCAACTATGATGTGTTTCCTGTGAATTATTCTGGTGATGTTTTATGGGAGGAAGATGATGTGTCAATAAAGCCTCAGAACTGCCATTCCATTGCTTGGTCACTGACAAAACACAAGCATGGGGGACCCTGATGACATCATTACCATATAGAAGCAGGTGGTAGAAAGGTGGAAATTGGATGGATTTTCCTTTAGTGGCCTTATTCCTTTTTTTGTGTTTCTTTGGGGTCCTCTTCTTCCTCCATTCCATTTGCCTGTCACTCTTATCTTCCTTTCCTTCCTTCTTCCCTGTCTCCTTCCTCCCTCAAAGAGATGAGTGGGTACTCTCTGTAAATGTCTCTTTTGTTGTCATTTTCTTTACACTGGCCCTTACCAGTGCTGGTTTGAGGGAATCATTTAAATCCTTTTATTTCCCTTTCTGTTCTCACACAAATTCTTAGGAAAAACAGTTCTTGGAAAAATATAGAACATCAAGGGAATTTAAAAAATTTGTGGAAAAATTTGTGCAAAATATTTTAAAATCCATGCATTCTTTTATGATACCCATTTTCCATGAATTCTTTGAGGACCCCCTACACCATGAGCATTTATGAGTGTGTGGACATAAATAATTTTGTTTTACTACAGATCTTAACTACTAGTGCCAGGAGCCTTTCTGACTTTGGATACTCACTGTTCACATAGTTTCTGTACTTCCTAGAGTTAATCTCAAATCCTTCTTCTCATCACTTGTTTCTTGGAAGCCAAAAACATGACCATGTATAGCGGGAGCCAAGTGCTTGGCAAAACCAAGAAAAAAATTCACTACTCTTTCAAAATGAAATGGATTGGAAACTAAGTTGACTGGGAGTCAGTTTTACTTAAACTTTGGATCTTTAAAGTTTTTTCTCATGAAGTAGCTTCCACAAGAATCTCTTTTTGCAGCTTAAGGTGCTTGAATAAGGAAAGCAAAGTGAAGCATTGTTCTGAGTTGTTACAAAGATAGCGGCAATGTGCAGTTTATAATTTTTTCAGGTAATGTGGTCTCACAATATTTCATAGAATAGTTTAGATTTTTAAAATCTCATTTTGTAGTTTGGCAATTTGCATGGAGAAATGAAATGATATTTCCAGTTTATTTTGTGGGATTCGGAATCAGGCACATGGGGACCTACTTCTTTATTAAAGAATGATGGCTCCCAACACAATGTCAGAATGCGACAATGGCTTTCATCTAACCCCAGCTCTAAAAGCCTCTCTCCTTGTTCTATTAAACATGCCCAATCCACAAATCAAAATGCATACTTCCTTTTAACCTCTGGAACTGGGAGCTCCTTAGGGCTCCCCTTGATGGGTGATACATCTTTTCTAATGTGAGTCTCAGTGAGGAACAAGATTACCATTTCTAAAACTACATCTGCTGTTCTTATTGTTGTTATTTTGTTTTCACCAAGCCTTTGCTGATGTATAAGCAAGCCATTTTGCAGGCAAATTATCATTGATAGGTGTGGTGACAACCATACCCACAGTTTAAGACATAGTAAAATTTAAAGCTTATGTGTTTTGTTGCAAGAAAAAAAGGAAGGAATACTTTTTTAGACTGTATTTTTTTTTTCTAAACGATTTTCTGTTTTCTTAACATTTATTTTATGGAGCTCTGGAAAGTAATATATCTAAAAATGAATAAAGTTCCAAAAATTTTCATACACACACACACACACACATACACACACATACACACTAATACATGAGTGTTCTGGAGGGATAGAAAAAAGTCAAAGTATTTAAAATTTATTACTTTTTTAATTCCCTTCTTTATTTTTAAATTTTTATTTATTTATTTAATTATTTTAGAGAGAGAGATTTTTGCTATAGGCCATGTATGCTTGCCTGAGAGACAGATGGAGAGACAGAAAACAAGAAATCACTCCCCAGGAGGGATGGCCACACTGCAATCCTTTCTCCTTCATTCTCTTCTTAGGACTTTGGGCACACATGGACATGCGTCTAGTGTGTTTCAAGCACTGGGTCAGAGATTTAAACTGTGGTTGACTACATGGGAGTTCAGTGACATAACCATTATGCCATCTGCTGGTCCCTGCTTCTTAGTTTTGAAGGGTGACAACTGATGCCAGTATTTTTACTTTAGAGGAAACATTTTTGGGGTGTCCTAAGGGAACCAAATCACACATGAGAGCTCCCTGGAGTTTTACCTAAATCCAAATGTATTCTTTATGTTAACTGCTGGCCCTAAATCTGAATTTTTTTTTTAAAACCACTTTTATTTAGTTGGACACTATGTTAGTTCTGGTCAAAGATTTTTTTTTTTCCTTTTTCTTTTATCAAACATAATAATTAGGTCTTGGAGTTAGTCTCACAGAATGTTACATAAATATGATGTAATGTGGAATAATTATTATTATAATGGTTAAAACTAAAACAATGTGTGAGTCATTGCAAATTAACTGCAGAATTTTCATTATATTGATTCCTAAATTATTGATAAACTTATTTATGTAATGTTTGTACTTGTGAAGAATAACAAAATAATTTTGACTCCCTCATGAAGCAATTATCAGTTGTGGATAAAATTCTGCTTCCCACTACAATTTACACAATCTAGTAATAAGGTCATAGAACTAGTTATGTGCCATACAACCATGTTTTGGCCAACAGCAGTCTGCATTTATGATGGTGGTCATGCAAGATTTTAATAGAGGATACCATACAGACTAGGTGTGTAGTAAGCCGTTCCATCCAGGTTTGTATAAGTATAGTCTTTGATGTTTGCACAGTGACAAAATTGGCTAAAGACTCAGGTCTCAAAACATAGCCCCATCTTTACACCATGCATGACTATAATTTAAATGCAATAAAAAAGAGTCCACAAATCAGTTTTGTCAAGAGGCAATTTCTTAAAATATTCTGGTTCTTTTTTTTTTTTTTTGCCTTATATCTGAAATATAAAATGTCTCTTACATGCAAATCAACAAACATAAGAAAATTAGGTTAGTGTCTCAGTGGGAAAATTAGCTGTCATCAGTTCAGGCTGGCAGAAATGCTGAATCATCTGAAGCTGTTATCATGGAAGAAATCAGAATTCTTAGGCAATATTTGATTCACTACATTTACCATGTTGTTCCCTGGATATTGTCAAGACTTAACAACTACATTTTTGTCAAGAGCCTCAGAAAAGCTCTCTGGTTACAGGGCATGCACAGACAGCTGAAGCAATGCTAGATAGAGAAGAAAGGGTACTGAAGTGATGAGCTGACTATGGTTTTAATTGTGCGGTAACATTTTAGGATAGAAAATTGTTAGGGTTGGGACCAGTGGTTAGCGTAATGGCTATGTCACTGGACTCCCATGTAGACGACCGTGGTTCGAGTCCTGGACTGGTGACTTGAACTCACGCTGGGCACGTGTGCGTGCATGCCCAAGATCCCAAGAGGAGAAAGGAGAAGGGACTGCGGCATGGCCATTGCCCCTAAGGGGGTGATTTCTAGTTTTCTGTCTCTCTGTCACTTTCTTTCTGGTGAGCGCACGCACCCTATAGCAAAACAAAACAAAACAAAACAAAACAAAACAAACAAACAAACAAAACCTCTCCAAAGGGGGAAAAAAAAAGAAAAAGAAAATTGTTAGGGTTGAATGTAAAGACTGGTTTAATTCGAGTTTGAAAAACTCTAGCATAGTAGTGGAGTTCTGGGGCTATATGAAGTAAAGCATTATCTAGTGAGAGTGGATTCTTTCAAATTTCATAAAATTTCATGCAACATGCTCAGAAAGTGTAAATAGACTAAGGAAAATCTTCAAAACAATGCCAGATGTCTATTTATAAATTCATTTGCTTTATGACTGAAAATGAGTGAGCTTTAATCTTAGGGAAAAAGTTACCTATGGAACAAAATGTTGACTTCTAGAGGGAAAGGCAGAATTCAGTATCTTGATTTTATTTCTCACTAATTTTGATTACCAAGTCATAAATGGTTAAAATTTAGTTTGAACATTTTAAGTTAGATTAAAAACCTGTGTTGTTAGGGACATAAACATCTTCAGATAAGCAGATGTGTTTGGAAAAAATGGAAAAGGACACAATGAATCCGCCTTTCTTTGGTTGAATATCCAATCTAATCAACTGATAAACCAGTCAACCAAAAAACAAACAAACAAACAAACAAACAAACAAAAACCCTCACAAATCCTGCTCTATTGGTAATCTTCAGGATTTGAGAAGTGCTTGGGGTAGAATCTGTCTCTCTGTCACTTTCTTTCTGGTGAGCGCACGCACCCTATAGCAAAACAAAACAAAACAAAACAAAACAAAACAAACAAACAAACAAAACCTCTCCAAAGGGGGAAAAAAAAAGAAAAAGAAAATTGTTAGGGTTGAATGTAAAGACTGGTTTAATTCGAGTTTGAAAAACTCTAGCATAGTAGTGGAGTTCTGGGGCTATATGAAGTAAAGCATTATCTAGTGAGAGTGGATTCTTTCAAATTTCATAAAATTTCATGCAACATGCTCAGAAAGTGTAAATAGACTAAGGAAAATCTTCAAAACAATGCCAGATGTCTATTTATAAATTCATTTGCTTTATGACTGAAAATGAGTGAGCTTTAATCTTAGGGAAAAAGTTACCTATGGAACAAAATGTTGACTTCTAGAGGGAAAGGCAGAATTCAGTATCTTGATTTTATTTCTCACTAATTTTGATTACCAAGTCATAAATGGTTAAAATTTAGTTTGAACATTTTAAGTTAGATTAAAAACCTGTGTTGTTAGGGACATAAACATCTTCAGATAAGCAGATGTGTTTGGAAAAAATGGAAAAGGACACAATGAATCCGCCTTTCTTTGGTTGAATATCCAATCTAATCAACTGATAAACCAGTCAACCAAAAAACAAACAAACAAACAAACAAACAAACAAAAACCCTCACAAATCCTGCTCTATTGGTAATCTTCAGGATTTGAGAAGTGCTTGGGGTAGAAGGAATGCCCTCCTCATAAGTACTATAGAGCCTAATACAATATCAGTAATTAATTACTTGTTACTGTGGCATACAAGAAAATAGCATATTAGATTGTGTTCAGCACTGCATAAATTATAAGCAAGTTTCTAATATTTGGTAGAGTGAAAAGATCTGGTTGGGTGCTCTAGATAATAGCCAACTGATTCCTTTTTTGAGTCATTGCCACTTTAATGGTGTAACCGTGAAAGTACCTGTGGAAACGTAAAGCCATGTTTCTAATACTGGAAGTAAAATAAACTAGCCATTATACATTTCAGGTGTCCTTATTGTGACTAATGAAGAAAATGAGTCATAATTAAAGCAGCTTATCTTACAAAGGGATGGTCTAGTTACTTCTCTTACATTTACTAAGCCAGGATTTTGGTACGATAATTAAGATTTTTCAAAGGAGGCAAGATGCCAACGAAGAAGGCAGATCATAAGCACTGCAATGCAGTGGGCAGTAAAGGGGAGAGAGGGCCTTTTGTGCTTAGTTTTGTGGTTAGCCCTTGCAGTATTTGCAATATTGACATGCTATGTTCATAAGCTCAGGTAGTGTTGCTAGCCCATCACACATTGGCCTTGGAGATTTTTTTCCTGGGTGTAATGATAGATTTCCATTGATTTAGTCACTTTCCTATAAATGTATAAGAAAACAATCTAGGTTTAGGAATGTTTATGATGAAGAAAATGAATGAGGTGCAATGATCCATGAATTATATTATTTGACTTACCTCCTACCCAGTTCCCATCCTAACTAGCATTGAATGTGTATGTAAAGACATGCAAATATGCATGCACACAAAAATTTCAAAAGATTAAGGGAGAGTACTTCTGAGAATAACTTTTTTTTTCTTTAAGGGAAAAGTGAATCAAGTCAGAAAAGGAAACAAGAACAGGGGATGCTACAAATGGTGGTAAGCAGAGGCACACACTCATAAAATGGGGGAGGCAGATTAGTAGGATGTCAAATGACTTCAAAGATAGACCCTGATGCCTTTTGATGATCAAAGTGGAAAGCTTGGAAAGGACTCTTGGTGAGTGATGTCAGGAGTTTGTGGGAGGATTCTGGAGTGGTGATTTTAATTCGTCCTCACTCTGCTTTATCTTTCTGAAATCATCATAATATAAAAGACTGAAAACTGAGGAGAAATAAAATATCTGTGTGACAAACCTCACTCCATTCTTAATGCTGTCCTGATACTGACAAGCACTATTCTTGGCTTGCTTAGGTTTTATTTTATTTTAAGAGGGGCAGGTGGGGCAAGGGAGAGGTGAGGGCAGAGCTCAGGTCATATTGATTCAGTTCCAGTTACAGAAAGACCAAGCTCTTTAACTTGTGCCTTTATCTGGCATGAAGAATTTCCATCAACTTTAATGTAACAGGATAGGAATACACTCAGTCAGAAAAGTACTTACACACCTATGTTTATTATGGTATTATTCACAATTGCTAAGACATGGAACCAACCCAAATGTCCATGAACAGATGAATGGATTGAAAAAATGTGGCACATATACACTATGGCATTCTATTCAGCCATTAAAAAAAAAATGAGACCCTGGCATTTAACATAAAGTGAACAGATATGGTAGACTTACTGCTAAGTGAAGCATGCCATACTACAACGGAGAAGCATTATATGTCCCTACTCAAAATATACCAAATGTCTGCACTTTATGCCAGAAATTGTAAGATAGGAAAATATAAAAGCATGGATAACAATCGTGGATACTGGAGATAGTGTGGGAGGAGAGTGGGAAATGGGGGAAGGTGAAAGGAGGGGAATCAAGGGGAAAAAGAAAGAAGCAAAACATTTAAGGCACGCAAGAGTGGAAAATTATCTGTTGTTGATAACATGTATGATAATATCTTTAACTGGACTAATATGCAGTGTATTCATGCTGGAAAAATTCATTTTGCATGCTGAAATGATATACAGTGACTGAATGTATTAAAAATATTAATAAATAAATAAATTTTAAAAAAGAAAAAATGTAGATCACCACCAGCATTATCAAGTGATAGAAAGGAAACAATAAGAGACTGATTTTAAAATTGCTACATCAGTAAGTATCAGACTGCCTTCTTTGGGGTAAGGGAGCAGAGTGGACAATGGCCCACATCCAGTGGGGACAGATAATCTTTAACTGCAGTGAGTTTCAGTCATATGATATTGTTCTAGCCTTACCCAGTTAGTTCTAATGATTATGCCAAGAGGTTCCTTAATTTGTCTTAATTGGGGCAAGGGAGAGGCAAGGGCAGAGCTCTAGGTCATATTTCCAGGGTCTTGCAAGTTGTACAAAAGTAGAGACTCATTCAAACCAGAAGATCCAGCTTGATATTCTTCACGTACATGATACTGATATAAACTGCTGTGAGCCTATGAAGTCAACAATGTAAGTGGAAAACCAAGGGAAGAGCTGAGATGTCAAGTTCAAGTTGGAAATTCTCAACAGAATCTCATCAAACCCCAGAAGACCTCTATCTCCACTAAGATGTACTACAAGAGGACTTTAGTGTCAGCAAAGAATGACTAGTAGTCTAGCTATGGAACTACAACTACGATTAGTGATTCAGGGTTGGGATACTGACCGTGCTTCGTGCTCAAGCTGATTTGCATATAGCTTTATGAGCGAATGCTCTTCAGCCACCAGGCTGGACGCACTTATCCCCTCAGGTAACCTGAGGGGTTCAAACAATGGGACCTCATTAAAACCTCCCAAAGACAGAGCAAGGCCCACTCAGAGAGGAAAGATATCCAGTGCACACAGCTTTATTGAACAACACCCTTAAAACAGAAACTGGAGGCTCATCTCCACAGAGATTGTAAGAAATGTAAGCTTTAAACAATATGTCTGTGGTTCTCAGGGAACATTCCAGAAGGACTGCAGATGGGAAAAAAGGGAAATAAGCAGATTTGGGATTAATGGGTACCATGCACCCTGGTGAAACCAGAACAGCTCAAAGTATTATGGGACTATTTTAGGGTAGAAGCAGTCATGTTATCCATCTAGACGCATCCACCATAAGCACCGTCCGAGCTGAAATGATATAAAATGACCTTCAGTAAGGATGGGGTCTACCTCTATAGGACATTTTCAGAATGCAGAGCCTCCCAATAAAAGTACATTTTTCTAAACACCACTCAGGTCTTCCCTAAATAGATGCACAGATCCATGTCTCTTACAGATTTAGCAGTTTATGATTTTGTTTATTAAAATATAGTTGAATTTGGCAATGGCTCTGAAAAGGAGTGCAGAAAGATGGTTCTGAGGGCCTAAACCATATCATCTCAGTGTGGATGATCCACTTGTTACAGACTTAATTTATATGTTGGAAATACCACGTAGTGCCACATTCTACTTATTCTGCTAGTTACAACTATGAGGAACACCTCCTCTCAGGTTCCTGTTGAAGAGCCAATACAGGAACTCAGAAAAAGTCCGCAGTGTTTTGAGTCTTGCTGTCTTGGAATCATCAAGAGAATGTACCAGGTTACAGTGAAAAAGCCATTTTATAAACATCTTTATGAAAAAGATGAATTACATGTGTTCTGTGAAATAGGAGGCTGTATTTCTTTTCCCTGCTATAAGACATGTGAGATCTTATGTTCCATTACTCCAGTTTTCCTTACCTTTGTTTCTGCCTTCTGTGAACCTGCTCCATGTCTTTATACAGTAACTCTCTGGTGCTTGATTCATGATGTTTGAGCAAATGGCTTGGAGCGCCTTGTGACCCTTGCACATTTCTAGTGCTAACTGCTTAGAGAAATATCTGTCACCCCTGTTCCTTGCTTACATGGAGTAGATCTTATACAAAAAGATGAGGCACGTGCCTGATTTTTAAAAAGTTCTTGTTATTATTCATGAAATTACTTACATGTAAACTCATTACCAAGTTTGATCTTCAGCTTTTAATCTTAGAAATTCCAAAAATTACTGAGGGGAAGATTCTTTTATACCTAGACCTTTAAATAATGTGATATTTCAGAATTTATACGGTAATACACCACTGAATCTTGACATTACACATCCCTGACTTCTGTGGACCACTCCAAGTGCTATGGAAGTGATTTTCTCAGAGAGATAGAATGTGTATGTCAGTAAAATTGAAACATATGCTGCGTTCTCACTGTTGGTAGATTATAAATTCAGGTTTCCAGAAGTAATGTTAATCCCCCAAAGTCACCTCAGCCTTCTTGAAATACATCCCAATGAATGAAATTGAAAACTTGTGATGGATATTTACAAACTAGTTTCCAATAATGGTCTTCTGCACTTGGCTTATACTATAATATTTCCCTTGCAGTAGAATCAAGGCTCATTACAAAAGAGAGGGTTTATTTTATAATAGAGTTGGCACTTACCTCCTGGTAATAAAAGGACTTCCTGAGGAGGGAACAGAGTGGGAGAACAGGGTGTCGTTCATGCTGGTTACAGGTCTGGGAGGCCTAAGACAAAGCACAGTGTGTATGGGAAGTTAAAACAAATAAAAGTCACAAATTAAAAATTATCTACCATCCCCTGAGGGGTAGAACTAGAGTTCTATATTGTTCAGGACCAACAAGAAAATTCACCTTTTTCTAATTAAATGCCTTAAGTGTTTTAGAGTCACATTTCTGTGAGAATATAGAATCTCAGTTAGACATTGGGAGGAAGATCTCTGGACTCCATGGGAATGTTTATCTATGAGCTTTGAACTTTGGCATCAAGTCATAGCCTCAGAGCAAGGATTTTAAAGAAAGCCGTAATCGTCCTTCTACCTGCTCAAGAGAGACGCTCTGAAACACATGATCAGAATCTACATCCTCTTGGAAAGGAGAAGATTCCTGTAGCTTTGGAAGATTCCTTTCATGTTCCCTCTGACAATGGCCTGTTCCAATATCTCCAATCAGGAAGAATATAGGCTTTAAAAAAAATCACACTGTACTGTGTTTGTCCTTTAAAGTGAAGGTGCCACTAAGCACCACAAGAATTTACTGAGTTTCTCTTATCTGGGTGATCCATATGATAGGATATATGGTATAAGGTATCCCAGAAACTTCATTTTATGCAGATGATAAGAGAAAGAAAATAGAATTCAATATTCCTCAGAATTGTCTAGGACGCCAACTCTATGAGGGCTGTTTTCCTCAGTTTTATTTACATTTCATTCCATTCCATCACACTTTCTTTGTCATGACTGTTTTAGTTCAGGCAAAATACCAGAGCTATATACCTATTTCATCTCCAAACAGTTTTTACTAGTATTTTGGTTCAATGTAAGATACTGAAATGTCAGATAAGATGGGATATACAGATTGGAAGATAGAGGATGAGGCAAGAGACATCGTTCTGAGTCAAAGGGAATTTTTTTTTTTTACTGTAATTCAGTATTTATACTATAATTCAGTTTGATGATATAGAATATTTTAAAGGTAAGACAAGAATCAAGTTGTTGGCTTAAGAACCAAATTTGTAAATATATCTACTTTCCTCTTAAGGAACTAAATTTGGTTTGGGATTCTATAATGAAGAGGTGCTAGGCAATAGGTAGACTTGTTTATAACAGTACATATATTGGAATACCATCATGCTCTGCAGGTTTTATTATGTCAATGTAAAAATCATCAATATTTTATTCTTGGCAGCTGGTGCTAAACCGTGTTGTAAGACCTTGCAAGACACATTATTTGTTGGATGTGGTCAAAACAGCAGATTCACTACATCTATTACAGACATATTAACTAAAGTTCTGAAAATAATGCTTCTGTTTTGAATTACTTATGTTAGATGTTATCTTTGATACAAAGGAGCAACATGAACCTGCTGTAAAATTCTGCCTTGAGTTGAATACTTTCACTTTATAAAGATACTATGTTTTATACAAATGTCCTCTATGAATTATAAAATGGCAGATCAATTTTAAAATAGTGAAGAAAATGAAACATTTTCATTATAGCTTTGCAAAAGGTTGGAAAAGAAGTACATTTGATCTCACATTTCTTGTGTTCTTTTGTCTTTTATTTTAGACTTTCCCTTCTTGACCTATCTCTAAGATATGAGAAAACAAGTGGATTTGGAATGTTTCTTAGTTAGATTATTACATTTACTTTATTGAATCTGGCCACTGCAAAGCTGCACACACCATTAGCATGGTGAACTTGAGACATGGAATGGCTAACCTTGGCACTAAATGGTGGTATGCAGAGAGACCGGAGCTCCTGTTCCCTCTCTTATCAAATAGTAGGTTACCTTATTTAATAAGCAGGTAACACTGGGAATTTTAGGCATATTTACTCTTATGAAAAAGAAATAGCTCCACGAAGTGAAGTTAAATCAAGGAGTCCAGTGCAAAGTTTTCTTTCTGGACAAGATCTTTACAGAGAATATTTTAATAAAATTGACATCCTTTTTGTAAACTGCAAGTGTTCAGCTCAAGGCATAATTAGTTTTGCTCATTTGTGTCTCACAACCACTTATAATAATGTCTTTATAAATACATTGAGGACTACGAGAGTACTTACCAAGTATCACTTTTGGCAGCAAAAAATTGAATAGAATAGAAATCGTTAATCATGGTAACATTTACAAGGAATAAAATGGCTAAGAACAACTGCAAAAATACAAAAATGTCACCACTTGCTTATGTCTGTTTAAATAATAACTCATGACTGGTGATACCTCTTTACTGTGTAGGTATAAAATCCCTTAGCCACAGCAAAGTAATAGCATTTCCTGTGTGTCACATGGTTCGATTTCTAGGTGCAAAACTGTACATGTATGTGTGTGTGTGTGTGTGTGTGAGAGAGAGAGAGAGAGAGAGAGAGGAGAAAAGTAGCACAACCTGTTTAAAAACCCCATTGAGTCAATATCTTTCTACTATGTATCTAAGGCTACTTATAAACTGCTAATTTAGTTATACCATACCATATAGGCTGTGGCATATTGTTTGCCATTTTTCACATTTAAAAATTGTAATGGGGGCCAGCCAGGCAGTGTGGTGGTGAAAGTAATTTAATCTCATGTGACTGTGCAGTTTGAGTCCCAGACCCAGTGGCCTCAAAAACACACCCAGCATGTATGTACAGCATGTGTGTATACATGCCCAAGATCCCAAGAGGAGAATGAATTGCAGTGTGGCTATCACAACCCCCTACCAAAGTGGGGTTAGTCTTTTCTTTATTTTCCTCACTCTCTCTTTCTCCAGCAAGTGCATGTACCCTATAGAAAAAAAAAAGTTGGAACTGGAGTCTTACATACGTACCACATGTTTTTTCTAATTTATTTTATTATGCATTGAGTAAGCCTAAGTCATATGTTTTTTTATCTCAATTTATATCTATAACTTACGATGACTTTTTACTGTTTAAGACTAGCTATGGTAACTATTAGCAGACTAGTATCAATTGTTTACACAAACGATAAATAGCAAGATGTGTGCAATTAAGACTTTATAATGTTGAACATCAGATTCATATCCATGGACTCCACAATCTTAAACGTATTTCAGTAGTGCGTAAGGACACACAATTATCCTTCAGTTAAACATCTGCATTGTGCAATTTCTTTCTTCTTTTTTTTTTTTTTTTGAATAGTGTCTTTGAAGTATTCACACTGAAATCTTTGTGTTTATTTCCACAATTAATGCACTTGTCCACAGAAAAACTAAAAAGTGCTTTATTTTGAGTCTGCTTTCATTCTTCAGGCCCCAGCCCTCTGGTCACTCAGCCCATGGCAGAATGTGCCTGTCATCATTGTCAATGCTCATGTGCCTTATGCTCTGCCTTCTTCTTATCTTTGTCTGTTAGCTTTTCTGGGCATATCAGTGATACTAGTTGGGATATTTTTGTGAACCTATGTAAATATGTGTCCTACAAATGCCAAAGATGTGATTTGTACTACAATTAAAAGATTAATTATTTGGAATAACACGGGGAAATCTTAGATAGGAAGTAAGGATAGGAGAGACAGAGCCACAGCTAGAAAATTGTTCTAAGGAACACTGTGATTGTCTCTTACTAGCTCAGGGAAGGAAGGCCAAGACCTTAATAAGAACAGCTTCTATTGGGTAGATTTCTGCAAGTGGTTGGCCCTTGGGACACTCCCCAGGATTATTTACACTGATTTATTTTAAGACGTATTTTTTAGAGGCATAGTTTCTAAAAAATAAATGAACCACATTCTTCAGACTTGGTTTTGTTTCTGGATGCTGAACCCATGCTAGCATGTAATCAGAGAAAAAGGAGGCTCCACTCTGTGTTTACTGCTCAGGGCTGTGATGCCTCAAGCACACTCCAGCACAAACAATCAAGCCCCACAGTATGTATACAAAGCTCAGACATGATACAGCACAGACCATTTGACGGTGTTCTTTTAGGTCCAGCAGAGGAAAAATGTACTCTTCCAGAAAAATCTGGTATCTACCACAGTGCCTCTTACAGCTCCAACTCTGAACCTCCTGAAGCATGAACTTTGCATAATTGAATTCCTAACATTGGTTCATCAGTCCACCTTTTGATGTCAACATGCAAATAAACATAGACCGTATTATGTAGTAGGTCCCGCCAAACTGTGGACCATGAAAGGCAGTTAATAAGGAGTTAGAACCACCTATTTAGACATGTCTGTGACTATATAATTTCTAAGTGTGGATAGAAGCAGTTAATTAGCTTCTTTCTTCTTTTGAGCCCAAGGTAATACCAAGGAAGACATACTTCTTCTAGCTGAACCTCTCTGTTATCTTCCCCCCACCCCTATATTTGAAAGAGACTTTAGGTCATGAGGCTTCTAGGAGGGAGAGGAGATAGTAGTTAGCACCTTTGTCTGGTTCAACTCCTTCTTCCCATGAAGCCTAAGCATACTTTGAAAAAAACTTTTTTTGTGTGTATGGAAAAAAAAATAGAATGAATTTTTATACCAATCTGTCTCTCCAATTTTCCTCTGTTCAGTTATATAGTTTGGGACAAACAAACAAACAAACAAACAAAAACACATTTTTTTTTTCTGGATGCTCTATAGAGAAGTGAAACAAAAGGCTTTTATATTTGGGACTCAAAGCACATATGATGCTAGTGTATAATTAGCTTTATTTATTTATTTTTTAACCACAATAATTCCATTGATTGCTAACTTGCAGTTGTGAAAACTTCACTAGCATTCATTTATAAGTAAGCTCTGTGAATGTTTCTCAGCTCCAGCTGAATTTTGTTAGCATTGAATACTGTACATCTGGGCAGAAATACTGTCAAACTCAATAGACAAAAGTGATAATAGCACGACTTTGACTCTTTTCCTGGAAATACAATTAAAACATGGTTTCTGACAATTGATGTGAGGTTGACTTTGTGTGGATCTAGACATGCATCATTGAAGAAAGATGTCTCTTATTTTGGAGGGGAGAGATACTCACACGATGTGAGCCAAGTTGAGTGGCTTCTCAGGCTGATCTGGGAACATGGGGTGCAAAGGTTCCCGGCTGGAAGCACAGCTCAGAGACTTGCTTAATGCATTAGTTATCTTCTTAGCAGGTGATTTCTGGAAAGAAGAAGGTGGAAATAATAGTAACTACCATTTAAAAATATTTTACCACATGATTCACCTGTCATTATAGACATTCATTCATTCACTCACACTAGATCTCCTTTGTGAGTACTTACTCCCTGTCAGGAAGTTTGCTCAATGTGGGAACTGCAGTGAAGAACAACTTCCCTCTCCCACTCCCAGGATACCTACCTTCTGCTGCTTAGTTTCGGCTAAGGCTGTGATAAATGGAAATAGTCATTGTGTGGGATACTTTAGCTGGGATTTAATGGCCCACCAGGATAAAAACCCAGGGGATTGGGAAAGTAATTGTAGAAAGAGGACCCAGCAAGTACAAAGAGAGGAAAAAGAAGAGAGCTTGTTCTGGAATAGAAGGGAGGAGGCAGACCGTCATAGTATTCAAACACCACATCAAGGCATCAAACAATTGTGTCTTTATTCCAAGGGCAGAGAGAGACAGTGAAATTTAAATCACGGTAGTGACAGAGTGAGACCTGTTTCTAGAAGGATCCCTTTCAGTAACTAACAGAAAACAGTATGGGAGGAGATAGGAGTGGAAGGAACTAGAAGAGCAGAAGGTTTTGCAGGAATCAAGATGCTTGGTATAGCCAAACACATCTAGGTAGAAGTAAAAGTGGAACTTTAATCTGAATCTTTAGAACTTAAAATTCATGTTCTTTCTAGAGCATCATGCTACTTTATTTTAGTTTAGACTGTGACATGTTTATCTTGAAAATTATACAGATGAGATAGATGATGGAAAATAATCAACCACATTTAATAAATCTTTAACTAGTTTTCCTTTCCATGAGAAGCCATTTATAATTTAGTTACTTTCCTTTACACATGGAGTCCACAATAATAATAAAATGAAGCTGCTTTCCTCCCTCTTACTGAAAAGCTAAGTAACAGGGTCGTTGTTCAAGAAGTTCCTCTTCAGCTTTTGTTAGGAGATGTATTTCTCAGAACACTTAAAACAACAGCAATGACAAAAGCTCTTTGCTCCTTAAAGCATGGGGCCCCTTGGTGCACTTGAGTCTTATTCTACTTTGTAAAGATAACGTTCTGCCATATAATTTTAGAATCCACAGTCCTGAAAGAGAAGGCTCCAAATGGGGCTTTAGCATTTACCTAAAACATGAATAAAATTAGTCTTCAAACACCAACTCTCCAGTATCTGGGATAGGATAAGTTTAAAAATTGGTAATATGTCCATAACAAAAAGATAGAATGTATTTGCTCCTGTATTCTATACTACATTGTAGTTCATGACCTGTGTGTTTATATCTGTCCTCAGCATATGATATACCCAACAGCAAAGTAGGTATCTGAAATGGATGAAGCTCTCAGTGTATTCTTCCTCGGTGAAGAACTGTTACTTGAATTCAGTATCTCACAAATGATGACCTATTAAAATATTTACACTAAATGGCAGCTCCCAGTAATAATTCCTAGAAAGAACATTCTGATTTATGATGCACTTTATGAGGAACTTTTTTAAAAATAGAGAATACATTGTAGAATGATGTTAGTCTTTAGGTAAAGACCATAGGTTGAATTAAGATGCTCCATTAGAAAAACTCATGAGAGATATGCATTTTCTTGTGATAGAAGTATTCCAAGAGTGGCTGACAGGGTGGATGGCACATTTTACAAAAACTAACCCAGACATAGAGCAAAACTTTAGCAGACACATGAGAACAACATTGCTGGAACTAATCTTTGAGTTTAACTGAGAGGGAGGTCAGCAAACCATAAACCATTTGAACAGCAAAGTGCACAGAGAAAGTCAGTTCCTCCCATAGACCCGATGCCACCTACTCTTGGGAATATAACTCTCACAAGGACACATACAGGTCTCCTTTAATAAGCTGATCTCACACACTATTAATAAAAAGAATTTTTCCTAATATAGTCACATTCTCTTCCTGCCCACCTCTGCCCAACCCCTACAAAAAAGTAAAATGAAACAGTGTTATTAAGCCCACACTTTCATATTAATATTCCAGTCATGCACTTAAAAGAACTTCAGAATCTAAGGAAAAAATAAAACTAAAATAAATTTTCAGTAAGTTTCACAAAAATAAAACACAAAACTTAGGAAAACCTTAACTTACTGTGAAAAGAAGACCATATTCCAGAGGTGCTCATGGTTCAGTTGTTACTTAAATCAATACTGAATTACATATATTCCAAAAAGTAGCATAGTTTGAGTTGTCCTACATTTTAGGAAGTATTTAAATATTAGGAAGCTATTCTGAGTTCAGATAGTATAAGTAGGAGGTTGCATTAAGGATGACAGGGTATGGGGAAAAGGTGAAGAAAGCTAGACTAGGAACTGAAAGTAAATATGACCCTTAATTTTGTCATCTCTAATAATCCCTTTCATTCTGGGTGACACTCACACATCCAATGGCAAGTATTGCTGGGGTTTCACCTTACCCATGACGTGTACTCTTTCATTTGGTGCTGGTTGCTATGGGAACCACCGGCGTGTCCCCTCCAGAAGCAGTCCTGACAGAGCTGATAATTGTGACACTGTTGGCATCGGTAGCGAAATCCCATCATACTCTCACTGTGGCAGTAGGAACACTCAACTGGATGGAAGACTAAGAAGGAAGTAAATGAAGAAAAATAAAAAGTGTAAGCCAGAATAAGGACAATAGAGCCTAATAGGAATTGTGTTTTTCTGCTGTGGGCTGTGATTTCAGATGATAGTCGACTTTGGCTCGGAGAAGAATTTAGTTCGTTCCTGGAATCTCACGACACTAGTGAAGCATGCCTGTGCTGGTAAAAGAGATGAAATGGGATGAAGAATAGGCGTCCTTTTAACAACACAAATATCTGTAATGCCATTTGCTTTTTCTATTCACATCTCTAACACTACAAGAATATAAATTACCCATACTGATTTGCCTCTCCCCAAAATGGCTTGCTCTCTGTCTCCAGGACATCAGCACAGATTCCTGAGACTCTGAAACCCAAGGGATGAACACAGCTGACTGTCCAGTGGATAAAGGACAACTATTAGGGAAATGGAGAATAGGCAGAAAAAATAAAGAGAAATGGGGGAAAGTAGAAAAACTCCTCTTCTCTCTTCTTTTGAGTTACTTTTTAAAGATGGGGTGACTAATGGGCTTATTTAATGAGTGACATTGTTTTCATCTAACGAACAGATATTTTTTTGTTCCTGAAACAGGTTGAGCCCAAAAAGATGTGTAAATTATCTGAATACAGTTCTAAGTCAGATAGTTCAAAAGACATCTGACTATCTTAGGTGGAAAATTTGACCATAAAGCAGGCAAGGTATATGTTTTAAATCTGAAGCAAATGAATGATCAAATTAAGTAATTATCTTTATGTTATGAGCTAAAGATAGATACTAAGATAACAGCATGCTCGTGTTTTGTAAAGTTATTCTCTGGCTAATCAGCCAGGAAAAATAAAGCTCATAAGAATAAATGAAGGAAAAAAAAAGAATAAATGACATAAAGCAGTGTTGAATGTTTGACATAATGAATATGTTAATTACCCTGATCTGATCATACTTATAGCACACATATTTCCAAAAAATCACATTGTGGGCCACCCAGGTAGCATGGTGGATCTCACATAATCGAGTACACAGTTTGAGTCTTGGAACTTGGTGGCTTGGAAAATATTCCAGGTGTGTGTGTGTGTTCATGCCCAAAGTTTGGAGGGGAGAATGAAGGAGAAGGGATTGTGGCATGGCCATTGCCCCTGGGCAGGGTGGGGGGTAATTTCTCACTTTCCCTCCCTCTTTCTCTCTCTCTGTCTCACTCTTGTGAGTGCATGGGCTCTATAGAAGAAAATAAAATTGCATCTCACAAGTGTAAACAATTAGTATTTGTCAGTTAAAAATAATAATTAAAGGAGAATAAATAGAGATAAAAAGCAAAGTGTAAAGACATAAACAGTTCTGGATGCATTTAAATAAACATCATAACCTCTTTTGTTTTTGGGAGACTAGGGTGGAAATCACATCTAAGGACCAAAGCTCTGAGACAATGCCTAAGAAACTAATCTCCTGAAACAAGGAATACTCAGGAAGAAGGAGTGAAGTGATAGCTTGGAAAATGCCCAGTTCTGGAACTAGAAACCATCACACAAACTCATCCTGAACATTAAGACAGACCTTGATTGTTCTTTGCTTCTGCATATGGATAAAAAGTATTTAAAAACTGCCAGAAATTGCAAAGAAACTAGTAAGTTCACCCTTCATATTATCTCCATAAGCAAACCAGTATAAATTTATAACTTTTAACTAAGAGAGTTAGTAAAGGCACATGTTAAAAATTCTGAATGATGATTTGAAATTAAGCTAACTTTAGCCCCAGTGTTTATTACAGAAATATAAAAAAATTGGGGACCAGCAGGGCGTGGTGGCTAAGGCCCTGGATGCTCCTACATGGCTGACTGTGGTTGGAGTCCTGTGCCTGGTGGCTTGCTTTCTCACTTTCCTTCTCTCTCTCTTTCTGTCTGCGTCTCTCTTTGATCAAATTAAAATAAATAAATGAATAAATTAAAAAAAAAGAAATATATAGAAACTAAGATTCTAGTAAGAAGTAGGAGAAAAGTTATGTCTGGAGACATTTCAGAGTTAAATTAGAAGTCCTAAATAAGAAGTATAAATAAGTCCTAAAGATTGGACAGAGGCAACAGATTGTTCTGCTTAAAGTTCTTTAAATCTTGTCCTAAGCTGCATTTCATATTTAACTTTGGATATGCCAACAATAAGTACTTTTATCCTAGAAATATTTGCTTTTATTAAAAAAAATCACATTATTAAAATAATAATTCCTTTTATTTTTGAGAGGTTTTGCTATAGGGCATATGCACTCTCCAGAAAGAGAGAGACAGAGAGACAGAAAGCTAGAAATCACCCCCCAGGGGGATGGCCACACCACAATCCCTTCTCTTCCATTCTTCTCTTGGGATCTTGGGCAAGCACGCACATGTGCCTGGTGTGAGTTTAAGCCACCGGGTCCAGGATTTGAACTGCAGTCAACTATATGGGAGTCCAGCAACATAACCATTACGCCAACTGCAGGTCCCAATAATTTTTATCTTAAACACAAGTACAATGATTGGAAGTTTAAAATTCAGAGCATATGACTGGAGTTTTTGCCATCTCTTCCATTTTTTCCCGCCTTAGGGCCTAGGAAGAAATAGCCAAGGCCACATATACCAATATTGGAAGTTCAGAGCTATCAGAAATATAAGAATATGTCTCATTTTTACTAGATTCTTCTTCTGTTGTACAAAGTTCCTATGTCAAACTTGACTTGTAACTGAGAGGTATACAATTTATTAAGTTTTTAGAACTGACAGTCTTAATTTTGTAGTAGTCTTATAAGGACTTACTGATCCCAGAGACTAGTTCTATCTTAAACAAAACTAGGAATCACTAAGTAGACTTCTCTAAAATAATGACCTGGGCTTACCCTGATGGTCTAAATTCAATAATTTAAAAAATTGCCTTTTCTCAGTAATAAATACTCACCATTTTCTACATTCGCCAGTCGATGCAGAAGAGGCAACCAGACCAGACATTGAGGAGGAGGATCTGACATGAGTGTGTCCAAAAAGCCATTTAACGTGACTTTTTTCTGCATCAAAACCCAGAAAACAAGCAAAAAGAAACAAAAACACAGAAATTTAGGACAGAGAATAATTTCAATTTACCTGCTACGTAAATAGCATTTTAGAAAGCAGAAACAAGGCAGCAAATTAACCACTAATATATAAGGGAGCGATTTTATCAAATGTGTTATTAAAGTAGTTCAGAATTGAAAATATTATCTTTTATATAAAGCATACATAGAACTGGATTATCTTCACTGAGGCTGAGTCAGTAGTATCACTAGTAGTAAAACAATTCTGAGAGCATCACTTTTTTTTTTTTTAAGAGAAGTTTTTGCTATAGGGTGTGTGTGCTCACTGAGAGACAGAGAGACAAAAAGTGAAAAATCACCCTCCAGGGGGAATGGCCACACCACAATCCCTTCTCCATTATCCTCTTGGGATTTGGGGCATTAACACAAGTGCGCCATGAGATTCAAGCTACCAGGTCCAAGACTCGAACCACAGTTGACTATGTGGGAGTCCAGCTACATAACTATTATGCCATCTGCTGGTCAAGAGCATCACTTTTGTATATGAAGGGCAATACAAAAATAATGAGGAAAGGTGAAGGACTGAAATTCTCTGCGGAGTTTTACTCAACAGTGCATCACAGTATACTCTATAGTTCCCCCATCTGCCAGTCTTCTAAATTTGTAGACTATGATGGTTTGAATGTGTCCCCCCACAATTCAAGAGCTAAAATTTGGTTCCATTGTGAAGTATTGACAGGGAGAAAACTTAATCCAACTATGTTATTAAGACGTGGGGCCTTTGTGAGGTGATTAGATTTAGATAAGGTCATCAAGGTGAAACACCCCCCCCGCCCCCCCGCCCCATGACCAAATCCTAAGGAGTTTATAAGTAGAGGAAATGAGATGGACACAGACATGGACACCCAAACTCTTGCTATGTCCTATGTACTTCAGGACTCTGTGGTGAGTACCTACCAACAAGAAAACCCTCAATAGATGTGGCCCCTTGACCTTGGACCTCAAAAACTGTGGGTTAAATAAAACTCTGTTCTTTATAAATTATTCAGTGTGGTATTTAGTTATTAAGCAACAGAAATGCAGGCTAAAACACAAAATTATTTATCTTTCAAGATTCTCTACTTCTTCAAGCACTAAGTATTTAATGGTTAATATAATGGCTCTGTTGGGGAGGAGTTGGCAAATAGTATGGTGGTTAAGGCACTGGACTCTCACATGGCTGAGTGAGGTTTGAGTCCTGGATCCAGCAGCTTGAAATTTATGCTGAGTGTGTGTGTGTGTGTGTATGTCTGTTACCAAAAATCCTAAAAGGAAAATGGAGAAGTAATGCAGCCATCCCCCCAGGGGTGATTTCTAATTTTCCCTCTCACTGTCTCTGTCTCCAGAGAGCACATGCATCCTTAAAAAAAAAAAAAAAAAGAAAAAAGAAAAGAAAAGGAGGTAATCTTATTAAGAGAAAATGATCTAAGTAAAAAAAAATAAGTAAAATAAATGATCTTCTTTCTTTTTTTTACATAACTTTCTTCTCTATTTATTCTGTGTCTCATTATATTGGCCTTTTGTGATGTAGAAAAGGAGTATATTATAAGGTTCTTTCAAAATGACAAAAATAAGAAAGTTATATTAATATACTCATTGTAGTAATAGGAATTACACAAATCACATGTTTATATGCAGAAATTATTAATTTGCACTAAAAACTTTTGAAGTATAACATGAAAATGGGTGGGACAGTATTATATTTTTAAAGAACAAATTAGTACTGAAGAGGCATGTTATCTTTTAAAATTTTTTAGAGAGGGAAAGAATTACTATAGGGCACATGCACTTGCTGGAGAGACAGAGAGACAGAAAGTGAGAAATCAACCCCCAGGGGGGTGGCCATACCACAATCCCTTCTCCTCCATTCAGCTCTCATAATTTTGGGCATGCATGCACACATGCCCAACAGGAGTTTTAAGGTAAGGTCAGAGAGGCCTCCTTGGTGAGATGACATGGGAGCAGAGTTGTATTTAGTGTAATGAACCATCCCTTCTTTAGTCATTATATGGATGCATTTATGAGTTTACATAAATTCATAACCCCAGGAATACCCAATGTAGGTTCAATTTCCCAGAACACCTAGAAAAGAGACTGAGAAACTTTATTAGCAGGACAGTCAGCATGGTATTCCAGAGGCTACTATACACTGACTTAAGGGATCCTTTCAGTGAACATAACTTATTAGTTTGGATTTTAAAAAAAATGTAGATAAACCTTCAATTTATGGATTTACAAACTAGACTGTATTGTGGAGAATGGGTATGTAGTCTTTTTACAAGACTAAGAGACATAAACATGGAGAGCCCTACAAACTGAGAATCTTCTCTGGGCTAACTTGTGCCACATCCATGTAAAATACACTGTTCTAAATCCTTAATATATCATGGTGTGAAGGATTTAGATAACTGTATTTGGCATATTTTGGGTCTCCAGGATATTCATGTGATATGCTTCCTTTTTAAAAAATTAATTATTTTTTCTGAGATAGAGAGAGATCCCTGAGAGGGTCTTCATGCCATAATCTACACTCAGTTTCATGCATGCCTGGCATACTCAGGGAGGTCTACGGTCACAAAGCCAAGATCTTTCTTATGTGGGTTCAGTTGTGAAACCCCTTCACCACCCACTGGCCTGGGTGTGATTCTTTCTTGATTCCTTGGCTAAACATCAGTAAAGGTTGGTGCTAGGTCAGACATGTTTCATGTAGAGTTGGGTGACAATTCAGCCTTTTTGATAGTGCAATGGTAATACTACTACTATTACTACTACTACTACTAATGCTCTTGAGAGTGTAGGGTTGTAAGGATGAAGTTAGACAATGAAAGTGAAGAACTTAGCATGGTACCTGCTTCATGGTCAGTAAACACCATCTATCCATCTATTATTATTATTATTCAGGCATGCTGGGTTTAATTATGGGCTCTGAGATAATTTGTCAAAGGCTGGAAGATATGCTACTGGTTGTTAGGGAGAGGAATCTGTCTATCTCTCTCTCTCTCTCTTTTTTTTTTTTTTGGAGAAGGTTTTTTTTTTTTTTTTGCTATAGGGCATGTGTACTTGCCAGAAAGACACAGAGAGACAGAGAGTCAAAAAGTGAGAAATCCTGTGCCCCCCCTCCCCCTGGAGGGGATGGCCATGCTACCTTCCCTTCTTTCCATTTTCTTCTTGGGATCTTGGGCATGCACGCACATGTGCCCGGCGTGAATTAAAGCTACCCGGTTCGGGACTCGAACCACAGTTAACTATATGGGAGTCCAGTGACATAGCCGTTATGCCAACTGCTGGTCCCCTGTCTGTGTATCTCTGTGACTGGGAATGACACATGGAGGGGAGCAACCACTGTTTCAGAGACAGTACTTAAAGACATTTTCTCCTTACCTGTTGGGAGAAACAGGATCTCGCCGACTGTTCCGTGTAACCAAACGAAGGACCTTCAAAAACTGCTGTGGGTAGTTTGAGAACCTCCCGAAGGAACTGGTCATATCGTCCATAAACCATCACTCCACTGGAGTCCGAAATCATTGAGAAAATATCTGATGAAAAGAAAAGGAAAGTTATTTATTCATCACATGAATGGTCTTCTCTGTTTAGTTCAAGATATCTGCTGCAATAAAAAAAGAGGTGGCAGAATAAATATATTACATTTTATAAAAGAATAATAAAAAGCTATTTTTTATGCTGAAATATTCTTTTTTTTTGCAGAGGTTTTTGCTATAGGGCGCATGCACTCGCCAGACAGAGAGAGACAGAGAGACAGAAAGCGAGAAATCACCTCCCAGGGGGGATGGCCACGCCGCAATCCCTTCTCCTCCATTCTCCTCTCGGGATCTTGGACACACACGCACACGTGCCCGGCGTGAGTTTTAAGCCACCGGGTACGGGACGCAAACCACGGTCGACTACGTGGGAGTCCAGTGACATAGCCATTACGCTAACTGCTGGTTCCCATGTGCTGAAATATTCTTTACAAAGTGTTTCCTTTAGTGTCTTTGTAGATGATTCTGGCACTAACTAGTAATTTACATTAATTAGTAATTTATGTAAAACTAATATATTTTGATAAACTAGAGACTATCAGATTTTTGTTTTGAGGTCAATTATCAACTCCTATATAATTCAACTGGAAGAATTCTGATATATGTGAGAAAGATGCTGACCTTATTTGAGATATGCAATGAGAATTTTACCCCAAAGTTGGAGTGTGTGTGTACTCATTTATCTAGTTAGCAATTTGCTCATCTATATTATCACGAAAACTTTCGGATTTTGGTTTAAGGCATTTGAAAAATGAAAGATGCAATGGGGATAAAGATGTAACAAAAACACTTGATTAACTTCCCACAGAAGCAGAAAACTTTCTATAAATCATAGTGTTCTGGGCAGAAGCACTTGATTTATGAGGAAGGATCTTGTGACGCCTATAGTGAAGAGGAAGCCTAGCCTTGTGGATGATCAATGGTGTAAAAAGTCAGGGTCCTCGATTATTCTCCAAACAGCCTGTGGCTTAGGCTAGCCTCTGTTCTTCAGTTTCTGCCACTATGTGCACTTAATGAATATTAATGGCATAATTTCCCAAGGTGCTTTAAAATTCCTCTGCGGAAGTCACTATTGGAATAAAAGGATTTGCTATTATACAGTTTATCACCATGCTAACTAGATTGCCACCAGGCCAGCACAGCTGCTGGGATAAACTGTTGTAAGTTCAAGTGCTACTTCCATTCCTTTTGAGTTTAATTTTTCAAGGTCAAAATGTAATCTGGAGACATTGTTTTTATACCACAGTCAGATGTTAAGAACATTTTAGGCTTTTATTGGATTATGATTTGAGAACTCACATTAACTCTCATTTTCTTTAAGTATTTCAGTTACAGAGGATTTCTTTCTGTGATGCTTTTAATAGTTTATTAATCTTGAGGCTATAGAAATACTGTCTGAGCAAAAAAATTAACCTTATTCTTATTCACCTTCACAATGTTGTCTACTTAGTAAAATTGATCTCTTATGTTCCATTATATCCAGTCAAAAACACAAATTAGCTGCCTACAGAGAAACACTGTTATATAATTTCAAATACAGAAACTCAAAAATTCCAATCAAAAGCGAGAAGAACAAACTTAGAAAAAGTAAACTGACTTTCTTTCTTTTCTTTCTTTTTTTTTTTTTTGAGAGGTTTTTGCTATAGGGCGCGTGTGCTCTCCATAGAGACAGAAAGTGAGAAATCATCCCCAGGGGGGATGGCCATGCAACAATTCCTTCTCCTCCATTCTCCTCTCGGGATCTTGGGCACGTATGCACACACGCCTGGCATTGAGTTTAAGTTGCTGGGTCCAGAACTCAAACTGTGGTCGACTACATGGGAGTCCAGCGACATAGCCATTAAGCTAACTGCTGGTCCAAAAGTAAACTGACTTTCTATGAGAACTACCATCTTGCTTGTTTTGGGGTACCTGGGTTGCCTGTCACAGGGTCACTATCATTAATCTCTAAGCTCTTGCTTTCTAGAACAGCCATATTTGGAGAGGAACCTAGGCCTTTTCAATTTCCCACTGCAAGAATTTAGACAACATCTCTAACTACAACAGAAGTAGAAGGAGCAGGGAACCAGCAGTTAGCGTATTGGCTATGTCGCTGGACTCCCACGTAGTTGACCGCAGTTCGCGTCCCGGACCCAGTGGCTTAAAACTCATGCCGGGCGCGTGTGCGTGCGTGCCCAAGATCCCGGGAGGAGAATGGAGGAGAAGGGATTGCGGCGTGACCATCCCCCCTGGGGGGTGATTTCTCGCTTTCTGTCTCTATGTCTCTCTCTGTCTGTCTGGCGAGCGCATGCGCCCTATAGTGAAAAAAACAAAAACAAAAACAAAAAAACCTCTCAAAAAAGAAGTAGAAGGAGCCTCAGTAGCGACCCAACACAAACTTGAAATTAATATTAAACTGATTTGTGTTGAGGAAGATCTCCTAAGCAATAGCCAAGCCAGGGTTAGACTGCGGGATTAAAGGGAAGTGACTGTTAATGGCCTGTAAGGTTTTCAAAAAGAAATGAGGGGACTCTGAGGAAGCTATCAAAATAATGTGTTTGCATCTTAGTTTTGGGCCCTCTTTGGGTAAATATTAGGTCATCTGAAAAGTCATGATGCATTTTTCTATGTTTTCTATGCAAAAATGCATCATGACTTTCCTGACATCCAATATACACATACATAGCCATGCACATATATATATGTACACACACACACAATGTGCTTCTATGTCATATACATGAATAGATATAAAATGGGGAATTATTTCAAAGATAAATTAGCTAAAAGAAATAAAGTACTCAGAATAGGGCTTGACACATAGGACACAGCACAGAAATATAATTTTCACTATTAATTTCATATTGGATTATTCTGTCATCTGTTTCAGATGTTTAGGATTTGCCTCCCTAGTGGGATTGCTCTGTGAGACTCCAAACCATATTCCAAGCCACTTTTGTATTTCCTACAGCACCATCCAATGATAGATACTTTAGCAGAATTTACATGTATTGATTCATTCAACTAAAATTGACTTAGCACTTACTAAATAGTGAGGTTGTGCTGAGCAATGAATACATAGAAAAACCAGAATATAATTCTTCCCCTGTAGGAGGTTCCAGTGGATTCAGGGTGACAAAGAAGTGCTTACAAGGTACATCCAAGAACATGATGCAGTGTGACAATATAGCATGAGTACTGGAACAGCAGCACTGACAAGATGCAACAGGAGCTCAGAGAAACTTCCAGAGGGAGGAGTGGGGAAGAGAAGAGTGTCACCTTTTTACACAGGTAACCTTGGGCCAAGTGTAAAGGACAATTAGGGGCTAGCCAGGCATAGATGAGAGGAGTGGGCCTTAGAATACAGGATCAGGATGGAGATGAGTGTAAGCCCAATGCACTCAAGGATCAAGTTGTCCATAGGCAGGGGATTTAGAGGCACATAAGGGCATGGTGGGGGGTGAGGCTAAGCTATAAAGAACTTGGAAACTTTACTAAGGAGTTAGATATTAAAGGAGAAACTAAAGCATTTAAAATAAGCCAGTGAGTTAGAAGCATCATCGTAGGGTTAAGTATGGAGATAGGACAACCAGTTCAGAAATAAAAATTCAGCAAATACATGGTGTCTGCCGTAATGCCAACCTTTAAACAAAATAAAACAAGTCCTTCCCCGAAGCTGTAGAATAGCGCATGACATACCAGGCTTACAACATCTGATTTAGAATTTTTTTAAGATCTTTAGCTCTGTCCAGGAACCCGAAGGCAGACACAAGTGTTCAAACCCATTAAAACACTGGTTTGTAATCGCTCCAAGAACAACTTGACAGAAAAGGAGTCCTATCAGGTCAGTTATGTTTTAGTTGCCGTGTCGCAGAACTGCAGAAGGCACCCTTTGTATCCTGGCCTGCATATCAGTTCATAGTGGCTCTGAGTATCAGATATGGTGGTGGTATTGTCCCCTTTTAATATATTTTAAGGTATTTTTTTAATTGACTCCCATTTTTTGTTGTTTTTAAATTTTTCTCTTTTAAAAATTTCTCATTTATTTTCAGGTAATTATTCTTGCTTTATGTCTTCAACAATAAGGGATCAGTTGGGACGGACTATTTAGTATAGTATACATATAGTATTCATATGTATAAAAATGGAAAAATTGCCAAACAAGCACAGCTAGTTAAAATGAATTACTGAAATTTAAAGATGGGAAAGCAAACCCTCAAACTCTGAATATCCATATCCTTTCGTTTTATTTTTTCTCATTACAAAAGCAATGCAGAAAACCATTCCTTGCCTGCTTTTCATTAAAACACAAGTCTATAAAAGAAGACTAGGGAGAATACCCACAATTTCACTCCCCAAGACAAAGGCAGCATTAAGGGTAGATTTTGTGGGTGGATTTGCCCATATTGGCTCATTCAGTCACTAACTGACACTGAAGCTGAAACTATTGATGACTAAGGATACTCATTTTTGATCAACTTATATTTCAAGGAAATGTTTCCAACCAAACTGCTTTCAGCTAAATCGTTCCGGGTCAAATTATTTTCAACCAAGTTACCTAGAATCTACTAGAACTATTTTCCTGGGATTGACTATATTAAGGGTAACTCCTCAGTCAGAGAGCCAGAGACATGTAAGGCCATGATTCAGGCCTACCGCTCTCAGAGAGGGAACAAGACACCTCAGGGTCCTATCATCCTTCTTATCTACAGAACTTGTGACATCCTGAAGCTCATTTCTGCGACTGAAGAACTTATTTACCTTCAGTTGGTTGCATGACTTTGTTGCTTCTTTCAACCAAACTGAAGAGGAGTGACTTTGGTCACTAGACAGCACATATGCTTTATTCACTGATTATGACTTTTGGAGGGTAACAGGACGGAGTGAGGAGAAAGCAGCGTAGCAGTTAGAGTGGACTGCTGGATTTCCAAGAGAACTGCAAGGGTTTTTGACATTTGGTAAAGATCTGTTCAAAACGTTGGTTATATCTTGAGATTTGTAACTGTGCCAACATTGCT